ATGATGCCGCCCCCCACCACAATGCCGCCCCGGGCAACCGCCCGTGTCGCCCGTATCAAAAACCGCTACTGAGTGAGGCTTATGGGAAAAACGCATTTAAAGTCTTATTTTCAAAAGTTTGGGGTAAAGTTGCAGAACATTTGAATCTGATGAACTGGATGAGACCACAGATTCTATTCACCGAGTTTTTAATGTCCCAGTGACCATGGAAATGAAAGTGATGGTTCTCTCCCAGTTTGTTTAGATGGATGGGAATTTAAAATAATTACCTAGATTTGACTCAAGCTGCTGAGCTAAAAGGCTGGAGCTGAAGCTCAGCCTCATGGCAAAACATGAAAAACTGATAAAAAGCTGTTTGTGTGCACAGAAAACTGTCCTCTGTTTTTATTGCAGTCATGTAACTTCAATAATAGCATTTCAACAGGAAGAATGAGTCGAGTCCACAAACTCGAAATAATAGATTTAATAAAATTAACATTTCAGGATCTTCTGTGAGACTTTGCTGCAGTTTATGTTTTATAAATGATTTGCTGTGGTGCACGTCTGTTTCCTAAGATCCTACTGTTAACCTACACAGATCATGCTTTATGTTCACACACTCTTCACATTTCCAAGACCAAAGTCCAGCAGCACAGAATGATTCAAGACACTGAGCAGCAGTTTATTTACTTGACAAATGATCCATACCCAGAACAACAACTATTCCCTCACACAGAGAAACAAGTTACAATTCTCCAACAAGAGCAAAGCTCAAAACCAAGAAACATGAGAAAAAAGTCTTCAATACAACAATGAACCTCTCACTTCTACCAGTCTGCAGCGAGTATATGATCAGTGTGTACAATTTACTATTTACAAAGACTGTTCACAAGTAGCTCACAGCTAGAGGGGAGAGGTGTCCGTCCATCCAGTGATTCAGTCCAAAAACACCAACCCCGTCGAATGTACCAGTCAGCACACCTCATCTGTCATTTTCTAAAAACTTGTGAACAGCAGTATTTGAAGTTTTGTGTCTGTGTGTCTGTCATCCAGGTTTGTCCTTGGAGCTGGTGATACGTTTATCTGTGGTGGTGGTTCTGCTGCCTGTTGTTCTGCTGCTCATCTACAGAATCACGGCCGAGGGCTCTAACGGTGAGTTACCTTCAAACACTATTTAAAACCTTTAAGATTCATTAATTGACAACAGTTATTATACTTTTGTATTTTCATGTCTTGTTTTCAATTCAGTTTATTTTCAGTTAATTTCCAGAGTGGATTTTCATATTTCAGTTTTATTAGCTTCAATTATTATCCTGAGGAGGGCATATGTCAGAGGCAAGATTTAAGATAAGTAGTACAGGTATTACAATAAAAACTGTATTAGCGACACACCTGCGTTAGACCTGTCCAGGGTGTACCATGACTCTTGCCCTGTGACAGCTGAGTTGGCTTCAGCATCCCCACAACCTTAATAAGGAGACGTGGATTTAATTTAAATAAATTGCATTTTTGTTTTTAATGTATTTTAACTGTAATAACCTTTATTCAAAATATTTCTTGTGGTACTGATTGGTTGCTGACATACTCAGTGTTTCACAGGACATGCACACACACTGGACACACAACATTTTGTTAAAATTGTATTACGTTTTCAGAATAAGTGAGTCTTTTCTACAGGTTTGAACAGCAGGAGACACTCAGCATTTGACCACACTGAGGTGACTTATCTCTGTTTGTTTTTTCTCTATGTCATCTTTTAAAAATCTGTACGAGACTGGAAAGAAATGGCATGGTCCTGGGTCATTTTGGCCCAGTGGTTTAAGCTTCCTGTGCTTTTTGTCATTTTTTGCATTACGTTAAGGTTGGGTTTCCTACGTCACTCTGTTCAGTATTCTCCCTGTGTTGTTGCCTTCTGTGTCTCCCCCCGGGTGTCTGCATTTATATGGTTGTGTGAGTTCTTGTGACATCTTGTTTTCCCCAGCCTATCAGCCTGTCTGCCTCTCTCCCTCATGCTCCTCATGTTCTCTCTCCCTCTAGTTTAGTTTATATTTTTATATTTTATAGTTTTGTATCGTTTTCCCTCGAGTCAGCAAT